GGTGGGGATGAAGCCGCCTTGGGCTCAACTGGGACCCAACCGCAGCTGGAGGCCCAGCAGGTGCTGAGGGGAGGCTGCAGCCTCCATGCGCCCCCAAAACAGTGGACCCTCTATGTGGGCCTGGCCCTTGGGGGGGGCTCTGCCCTCGGAGTCCAGACCAGGCTGGCGGTTTGCAGTCCGCTCCCCTTGGGGCTGCCCACCCAGCACGCCGGCCAGGCCACAGCGGTCCTGTTCCCAGGGCCGGCACACCTTCAAGTGGGCTGGGTACAGCTTCCTGTGGGCTGCAGGGCCTGGCAGGGTGGGCAGCGCCCCTGTCAGCCCGCTGTCTCCTGCCCACCAGCTCACAGAAGCTGTCTGTGCACGGCTGGAGTCCTGGCCAGCTGGGTGGGGTGCAGAGGTGTGCACAGTGGGGGTCTGGCCAGGACCCAGCGGCACAGGGGCAGCTGGCTGTCCACCAGGTTCCCACACCTGGTGCCTGGCTCAGGACAGGATGGGGAGGCCTGAGCTTCCTGCGGCCAGCGGCGTCGGGGCGGGGCTAGAGAGGCGAACTCCTCGCGGCTCCTACCTCCAGCTCTGCCACTACTGCCCCTCACCCTCCCTGAGTGCTCTGTGCCCAACCGGGATGAGGGGGAGAGGGAAAAGGGGCGCAAGTCCCTTAAGCATGGGCGACAGGCGGGGCAGAGGCCGGACGGGAGGTCAGTCATTCAGGGCACAAGTGCAGCTGGTGTCCTCCGCTGTCCCTGTAGTGAATTAGCAGCCTCGCGGCTGCCCTGGGCTCTAGCAGGCACCTTGGTGAATGCCTGCACAGGAAGGAAGGCTGCAATGCAGACCGCTCTTTCTCCAGTGCTCTCCCCGAGATCAACACCTGTGTGCCTCCCAGGAGGAGGGCAGAGTGGGCGGCGTGCCCAGGCACCCGCCCTGGGACCCCATGTCTCGTGTCAGTGTCACTGCACCCGGCTGCGACCGTGTGGCTTTCAGAGAAGGTAAAGCCGCACCGTGGACCAAGGCTAGGTCCCTACCAGAGCAGTCTGCCTTCCGAAGAGCCAGCCCAGCTGCTGGGCGTCCCGGACGCAGGGCTGCCTCCTCACCTCTGTCTTCCTGCGGGGCTGAGGCAGAACTGCCCTCCCATCGCAACTCCCCACTTTACCAGCGGGTCCAGGACAAGCACCCCAAATGCAAATGGAAGGGAGGGTGGAGACAGCACGAGAGAGTGAGGCACGGCCTGCATCCCTACCTCAGTCCCCGACAGCTGCCCGCCAGACCTCCTTCCTGGCAGCCTTGCCCTGCACTCCGCGCCCTCTCCCGGCCACCTCTGGTCCGGCCCAGTCTCCACACCCAGCGCTCAGGTTGCCGCGGCCCCTCCTATGCCAGCCTCCCCTTCGGACCATCTGTGTCCAATGGACAGGTGGGTGGCTGGGTGCTGAGAGAGCTGGGTGGGGTTTCCCACAAGGCTCAGGCCCTGGGCTGGAAGGACGTGGCCGTCTGTGCGGCCTGGACAGGGACGGTCAGAGCTCACGGGCTCCTCACTCAGTCCCTGTGAACAGTGAGGCGCTGTTCTAGGTCACGACAGAGGGTGCTGGCGACTCTGGAGCTGAAGAACAAAACCCAGCTTAGCAGGCTCCTCCTTTGCGACTTCAAGAATTTAGTTGGGATCCTGGCACTGTGAACAGGAAGGAACGAGCTGAGGGGGACAGGAGGGCTGGCAGGGTGTGCACCGCCACGACTCCCGGTGGGTGGGCTGGCAGCGGGCCCAACAAGAGGGATGCTAAGTGACCGGAGGGAGGCACAGTAGCCCAGCCTCAGTCTCCCCGTCTGCGATGTGTGCCTTTGAGCCTCAGCCTGAGCTGACTGGAAGCCAGCAGAGGCAGAAGAGGCTGGACCCCAGCATGGTGGCCATAAATGCACTGTGGGGTGACAGGTGCGGGTACAGGAGGGCCGGTACGGGCCTCTTGCTGTGGTATCCCCACCCAGGGCCACCTGATAGTGACCTGGGTGGTGCTGCCTGTGTCAGGCTGGTCCAGGCACTTTCTGCGTGCTGAGGTGCCACCCTTCCACAGCCTGGGAGACGGGACTGCTCCTGTCACCTTCCACAGATAGGGAGACAGACGCAGCAGTGTGAATGCCCAGAACCCGGCCTGAGGGCAGCAGGAGGTGGGCGTGTGGGGTGACCCTGCTGTGAGGGTGCAGCACCCACAGGGGGGACTGGGTGTCAGAAAGCAGACCCCGGGGCGCCCGTCTCCCTTCACACAGGAAGATGCAGGGACGGCATCTGTGACGCAGGGGTCCAGCCACACCGCATCTGCCAGCGCCTCGATCGAGGACCCCGTCCCTCAGGCTGCGAGAGGCAAAGCTCTGCGGCGCATGAACTACCCGGTCTCTGGTGCTTGCGCTGGCAGCTCAAGTGGACCAAGACACACAAGGCACTCGAAGGAGACAGTCGCCCAGAGGGAGCTGCGACACCGGCGGGGCCCGCCTGCTGCCCACACTGGCGACTGCAGGCAAGTGCTCCACCTCTCTGAGCCCCGCCCTCCCTGGCGAGACCCTGCCACCAACGTCACGCTCTGCCCGAGACGTGATGGAGAAGGGCTGAAGGGCACGGCCACACCTGGCAGATCCCCCAGCAGTGCTCTGGCCAGGCTCTGCCCTGTGTGCCGGGACGCAGCGGCGAGCAGAACAGGCCCACACCCTCCTGCCCTGGAGCCGTCTGCCTTCCAGCGGGAGGGACCACGGCTCACAGCCGGTGTCACCATCGTGTTTATTACTGACAGACGCTGTCCGCAGATCGAGTGCCTGCTACAGCCTGTTCCTGGTGGATGGGGAGGTCTAGCTGGGTCCTCACACGGAGAAGGGCTGGGGACTAACTCAAGCGTCTTGCTTGTCTGTGGTATGTGGGATCGAATCTACACTGAGCTACGTCTCCAGCCTTTTTACTTTTTATTTAAAGATGGCTTCACTAAGTTCCCAGGAAGGGCTGGAACCTGCAATTACCCTGCCTCAGCCTCCTAAGCAGCTGGGTCGAGACCCTTTTAGAAGGACATCGATCCATTTATTGTCCTGACTCAGTCATCTCCCAAGGCCACCTCTGACTGCTCCTGTGCTGGCGTTAGCTTCTGGAATGAGGGATACCACATTCTGATCCCTGGAGTTAGCAGACAGACCACCAGGGAGGTAGCCATGTGTTGCATGAAGAAAGGAAGCCAGGAGCAGGGGTCAAGCGGGGCTGATCTCACTGAGAAGCCACCGAGCAATCCGGAAGGAGATGTGGGACCAGGCAAGGGCTCTCCTGGGGCTCAGCATGCCAGGCCCAGGGATGGGACCCTGCGAAGGCCCAGCACTGGATTGGGAGCAGCAGGCCGGTGTGGTGCGGCTGGGGCAGGCGGACCAGGGTGTGATGGGAGGAAGGGCTGGGCCCTGAGCTCTGCGACTGTAGCGATCGGGTCACAGGGAGACAGGGAGAGGAGGGAGACAGGCCGGGAGCCGTGACGGGGTGGGGTACGGCATATGGGAATGAGGGGCTGTGAGGCAGAGAGCTCACTCCGAGCAGTGTGTGGGGCCAGTGTTCATGTTCCCAGGCGGGACGGCAGCCCTGAGCAGCCTTCTGCGCCAAGCTACCCTCTCTGGAGGGGCCAGTGACCCCAGCAGCATCCACAGTGGGCAGATGGGTCAGCTCTGTGGCCAGGGATCATGTGGAGGCTGCTGCTCACCCTCCGTGTCTGGGTGGTTGCAGACCTTATCTCCCCTGAGGAGGGAGGAGGAAGGCAGCCTCCGGCCTGGCCCAGGAATTCTCTGGGTCCCTGCAGCCGCCTGCTTGAAAGAGGCTGGGTCATCTGCAACATTTCAGTTGAGTCCAGAAGCTTTGAAAACTTGATAAACCACTCCACAGTCTCCTCAGAGTCCCAGTATGCTGTTACGGGATCTGTGCTTACATTTCAGGATGGAGGGAGGGGTGCGGGCAGGGGCTGGGAATGCTGGGACTGGTTCATGGTGCGACACTAGGATCAAGGGCACTAGGAGTAAGGGCGTGAGTGCTGCCCGCCCTGAGTGCCTGGGTAAATGTAAGGGGCAGAAAGAGCTGTGGTTCCCTTGTTGCTCTGCTGCCTTCTGCCTGCCATGAACTGTTTTTCCTCTGCAATCCGCCCTGCCTTGGAGCCAGCGATTACGGACTGAAACCCCACAGGCTGTGAGCTAAGCAAACCTTTCCTCCTTTCACTGTGGGTGTCAGGTGTTCTGTCTCAGCAATGAGAACAAGTAAGACAGGGGCAGGCACTTGGCTGCTGTATGGCAGCCTGAGGGCCCAGGTCACAAACAGCCTGGCTTTCCCTTGGGGAGTGGGCACCCTCAGAACTGGAGCCAGGTCTGTCTTGGCAGATCTCAGGGGCAGTAGGGATGGTGCCAGGGCTGCGGCATGAGGAGTCCTCCCCAAACTGCCCTTTCCTATCCACTTCCCGGGCCTCTTGAGGCTAGAGGGATTCCTTTTCTCAGGCCCATGGCTGGCTAGACCGGGGATGGACTGGCCCAGGCAGCCCGTGCCCCTCCAGAAAGAGGCAGTGAACCTCTGTTGCCATGGTGAATTGGGGACCAGATGCTCTCATCCCTGCAAGGGCCAGGCTGTGCTCTGAGGCCTATGCTACAGTCCAGTCTGGCCCCACCTTCCTCAGGCAAGTGCTGACCACGCGCCCTAGCACGGCTGGGGTAGTCCCAGCGACCCCAATGTGTTTAGCATGATCTTGCTTTAGAGCTGGGAAAACAGAGGTGCAGAGGGGTCGAGGAAATGGTCAAAGATCACAGAAACTCATCAAGCACGGTCACACATGCTTGCAGTCCCAGCACTGGGGAGGCTGAAGCAAGAGGAAAACAAGTTTGAGACCAGAGTGGTCTACATACAAGTTCAAGGTCAGCTTGGATTACACATCAAACCCTGTCTCAAAAGTAAAACAAAACGACCGGAAAAGGTCACAGAGCCTTAGATAAGAACCCATGCTCCATGGTCACAGCCGCACATGAAACTGTGGGGCTGCTTTGAGGCTCCCCATCTCTCGGTCACTGCAGGCGCACACAGAAGGCCGCCACTGGCGCCGGAGCACAGGCCCGATTATTTTGCTGATGCAGACACAGAGACTGGACACAGACCACAGGCAGGGGCTGCCTTGGTGGCCCCACACTGCTGTCCTCGGTGCCCCTTCCCTGGCCGGCCTCCACCTGGGCCCACACCTGCCAAGCACACAGCACAGGCTTGAGCTGCTACTCACTCTTTTGGGGGGTTCACATCCTCAGGTCGGGCCTCAAAGAACCGAAAGACTTCATCGCACTGTGAAATGTAAGGGGGTAGTCGGATGAGTGCCTGGGGAAAGACAGGAACAAAGGGCATTAGTGGGACAAACCTGGGAACAGGAGGACTGAGTCAGCCAGGCTGGTGTGGTGCGGGGTTCAGGGACTGCCAACCACTCACCTGAAACACAAATCAATGCATGGGCCGGTCAGCCATTGAAACGATTCTCTACCCCCAACTAAAAAAGTCAACCACCCAATTAATCCATAAACCAACAAAACAGCTGAAGAAAGATCACTTAGCCAGCTGATTAGCCATCCAGCCAATAATTCAACCAACCCATCCTATCAGGCAGTCTGCAAACTGAACAGCCAACTACGAAAAACCAACGTCCACGCACAAACCCCAGGGCTCGGCCCTCGGCCCGGCCCTGCTCATTCTTTGTGAGCCCTGCAGGAGTCCCTCCTGCCCGCAGAGTGTGTCTGTTAAGGTTCTTATCCTAACAGTGTGAGGCCCCTCCTTCCAGCCTCCTGTTAGCCACAGTCTGGCCGCACCAGTCACATTCCCAAGACACTGGCTGCAGAACTGATTAGAAAATCACTGCTGCCAAGGACTGCAGGGCGCTGACAAGGCTGCCGAGCTGGGCAGGACCCGGAGATGGGCCGGTGCTCAGGAAGGAATCTCGGAAGCTAAGTTCCGAAGGTGGGTAAGACCTGGTGGAGGTGGGGCAGCAGCTGGGTGAAGATTGGTGTGGGCCAGGTGCACAGGGGATGGAGGTGGCAGGGCCCTGACTGGAGGTCTCCCTGGGCCACAAGGAGGAGGCTGGAGGTCAGAGCTCTTAGCAGAGTAGACACAAGCTGGCCAGCGGCCGTGCAGCTTTTGGGCAAGGAGAGAGGAGGGTGGTATTGTCCTCTTGGGAGTAACAGGCAAGGTGAGCCTGTCATGAAGGCAGGGAGGCTGCTGCTGGAAGAGAGGGACCGGGTAAGATGCCTTGTAGCAGGGCACAGGAGCCCCGGCCCGGCCACTCCCAAAGGATGGGCTGGAGGCGAGGGTGAGGCGGGGCTGGCCCCACTGCCTGGCTCCCCTCCTTTCAGCACAGAAGAGAATGCTGGGACACGGAGGGTCCACAGCCAGAGCAGGGTGGGGACAGTGGCAAGGGAACCAGGCTGGAACCAGGACAGGACGGAAGCTGGGACACAGACAGCACAGTGATGGCTTCTAAGGGGCCCCCAGTCCCTCAGCCCGGCCGCCACCCTAGGACCATCGTCGGGTGCAGAGTTCGGGGTCCTTCCTGTGTGGCCACCTTGGGATGGTCCCACCCCACACTGCAGGTGAAGGAACAGAGGCTTCTGGAGGGGGAAACAGGACACAAATGTCAGCCTCACATGAGTGTAGACTTCGGCCTGTTCTGCTGATTCTGTTCCGCTGACACTAAACAGGCACTCGTTGTTTAATACATGGAGGAGCCAGGCATGGTGGTGCATGCCTGTGATCCCAGCAGCCTGGGAGGCTGAGGCAGGAGGATCACAAGTTCAAGCACAGTGTGTGCCACTTAGCGACTCAGTGAGACTCTGTCTCAAAAATAAAAAGGGCTGGGAATGTGGCTCAGTGTAAATGAACAGGTGCATAGGGCTTTGGTGTCCAGAAGCCCAACATCCGCGAGTGGTGGGACACGAAAATGACGCAAATGAACGAGTGCGTGCCTGTGGTCTTAGGCAGCACTGACAGAATTAAAACACCGAGGAACAAGCCCTGGCTTCATCCTTCTCTGAGCTGCTCAGCGATTCAGGTGTATCACCCAGGCCGAGCCTCCTACCAGGCCCTGCTGATGCCAGGCTACACCCAGATGGCATAAGAGGAGGCCAGGCCTCAGCCAAGGAGCATCTGTGGCTCCCAGACCCTCCTCCAGAGCCCGAGGGCCCCGGGAGTCGGACGTCACATCCTGCCCACTCCAGGCTGCAGCGCCTCACTGGCCAAGCGCGAGAGCTTTTCAGGTGCGCTGGCAGGGCCGTGCCTGCTGTTATGGGTGGGGAGTCACTGAATCTTTCCCTGGGGAGGGCACCACTGTCCACACACTGGGCCAGGGTGCTGAAGTTAGGGGACGGGGTGTGAGACCACCAAGAAGAGCGACAGGATCCAAGCCCCAGGCTCAGAATGTGGGATGGGAGCGGCTTGTCCCTGAAAGGGTCAAATTTTCATTGAACTCATCTCTTCCTCATCAGGAAGGAGAGAAAGAAGCAGAAAAACTGAAGGAGACAAAGCGACGGCAGAAAGAGAGGGAGGGAGAAGGTGTGACCGAGGGAAGCCAACCCCGCCGCCTGTCAGGGGGACCTCTCCGGAGGCACAGGGAGGCGACACCAGGCAGGAGAGAGCCGGCGTCACCAGCCCGGAGCGCCAGAGCCCTTTCAGCTGGCACTGCCTCTCCCGGATGCGGCCCCTGACCCTGGTCATTTGGCACCGCCGGAACAGAGGGGCTCTTCATGCCGACAGAGAGCAGCGAGAGCCAGGGGTGCATGGGCCGAGGGCCTCAGACAAAGAGGGCTTTTGGGGACCGGCTGTGGCATCTTCAGTTAGCAGGGCCCACAGGCAGCAGTCTGGAGGGCTGTCCCGCCGTCAGGCGGGCGGCAGGCTCTTAGCTCAAGCAGCAGCCACTTCTGGCCCCAACGGCTGGCAGGAGAGGGTGGCGCTGAGCAGGCTGTGCCAGAACGACAGCCAGCATGGGACCCTCAACCGGCAGCTCTGGGAGAGTGAGGCAGGTTGGGCAGGGCACCCCAGGGCGTACCAGAAGTGGGGGCCGGGTGGGCGGGAGGACTCAGGCTGGAGTCCAGCTCTGTGTTCTCGGCCTGCGCAGGGCAGAGGCGTCCCTGCCTGCTCTGAGCCCTGCGCGTGGCCTCGGCCCCTGTCAGGGTGCCACATGCGGGGACAGCAGGAGGGCTCAGCACCCAAGGGCAGCAAGTTCAGGCTGAGCCTGGGAATGCGGTGACTCAGGGAGGCCTGTCCCAAGGGGGCGCCAGCCTGGTCTGGGGATCCTCGGGGGCACTAGCATATCGGGGCCTCCGAGGGGTCCTACAGGAACCCGGTGTAGGCCGGTTTACTGCAGCATCACCCCAGGAGCAGGTCTAACTGCCATTCCCTAGGAAGCAACTAAAGCCCAGAGGGGTTCAGCAACTCCCCAAGGCCATGCAGCTAGGAACAGCACAATTTCCATCCGGTGCTGGAGTTCAGACCCCTGCTCTGTCTGCCCAGCACGGTTCCATTCAGTTGTGTGACCATGACAACACCCCGTGGGTTAGAGGCATTCTGGGGGGCCTCCAGCTCTGGGATGCAGACAGCAGCACTTGGCCTGTTCTGTAGACAACTGGATGAGCCTTCTTCTGACAGGGCTCCCCCTAGGGGTTGGGCCTGCTGGCGCCAGGCTGGGGAAGGGCCAGAATGTGCACGACCTGGGTCCCCTTTGCTCTGCGATCCGGGTCGGGTAGGCAGGAGGGTACTGGAGAAATGGGCCAGGCCTAAACTGTTCTGAGTCTCCAGCTCCTGCCCTTGAGACGTCTCCTCCGCGACAGTGTCCTCGTGAGGACCACTCCAGTGGAAAGGCACAGGGGGCTGCGGTGTCTCTGAGCCTTGCGCTCAGACAACAGGGGAAGAGCAGCAGACAAAGGGCGGGACTCAGCCCCACTGTCGTCACCATCACCCTCTGAAGCCCCGAACTCTGTGGAGACTCGGTCCAGGGCAGGAGGCGGAGGCTTGCCTTCGGCAGAGCAGCCACAGATCCTCTTTCTGTGACAGCAAATGTTGCCCGCCTATAGCACTGCCAGTGTTACTTGGTAGGGCCCTTACAGGGACACCCAGCTGCCTTGTGCGCATGCGTGCGTGTGTGCATGTGTGTTGGGGCCACTGCAGTCCCGCCCGTGTTGCCTCCTGCTGTGTCCCCCACCCCAGCCCCTGCCCCAGCTGTTCTCCCCAGATCACCCATACCTGGAAAGCTGGGGTCTCCAGAGCTGCTTCTGCCATCACAGTCCCCCCAACCCGTCTTTCCCTATACTGGGAATTGAGTCCCGGGCCATGCACTGAGCCACATCCCTGACACTTTTGCATTTTGAGAAAGGACCTCCCCCCAAGACTGGCCAACTGCGCTGCAGGGGCTGGGAGAGGCAGGAACAAGGCTCGAGAGCCCACCGTGGGCCTGGCTGAGATGCTCCCAGGCCTCCTGCGAGGGCCCTAAGGAGCACAGGGAAAGATCTACTTCCTCCTGGGCTGGCAATGCCCTTCCTGGGTCTGCCAGAGGACGAGCTCTCAGGAGGCAAGATGAACACATTTCCTATGCCTCTGTCTCCCTCGTTAGCCACATTCCTGGCCCCAGCCACCCTCAGAGCCAGGGCCACAAGAGCAAGGTCACCCTCCAAGGGGCAGCCAGTGCTGGGTGGAGGAAATCCCACTGGACATGCATAGGCGGGATAGGGTTCCCTACCGTGCAGCTGCCTCAGCCTGCAATCGGGGAGTGGGGTAAGAGGTGTGAACCTGGGGGGTGCGGGGCAGAAGGAGACCCACAGCCTCTCGTGCCGCGCCCTCTGTGAAGCAAGTGTGCCAGGGACAGAGGAGCCTATGGGCCCGCTTCCCAGGCAGCAGAAAAGGCACTGGGAAACGAGGTGCAGGCTGAGCTGGCTGTCTTCACAGTCCTCCCTCACACGCACTCCTCCCTGTGGTAACTCATTTTATCCCCAGGAAAAACTGCAAACACAGGTGCCACCCACAGTAGCAGGGTAAACGGAGTCATATAGAAGACTGTTGGTCTGAAAGTCCTCGGCTTGTTGAGAACTATTAAATAGTAACCACACAACCCTGTTGCTCATTAAAGCACTCCACAGATTAAAGCAATGCCTTTGTAACCCTTCCCACAGACGCCTGGCCCCGAGGGCCACATGGCCACCCTGCAGGGGCTTGGTGAATTTTCCGTCATGCCCACCCAGTCTATTCCTTGTGTGCATTTACAGTTATCCTTGCTATTTCGGCTGAGGGACGGGCTGGCCGGTGAGGGCAGGCTGCCCAGAGCAGGGAGGTCCCCTGCACAGCCAGGCCCCCACATCTGAACACAGTGCAGGCTGCTCACAGCTCTAGGTGCAGCAGATGCCTGAGTCGGTACTGCCGAGCGGGCTCAGGCGAGCTGGACATGCAGGGGACAGAAACGAGGACTCCAGAGGCTCTGGGCAGGGTCCAAGGACAGGGATAGACAAGAGAAGCTGGCCACGGAGGGCAGGGGGACTCGTGCTCAGACAGGGCTATCTGGTGGCCGAGCTGTAAGACAGTGCTGGATGCAGTGACCACAGACAGCTGCTGGCTGGTCCCCCGGTCACCGTGAGGCCAGCAGGTTCTCAGACAATCAGCCACAGACCTCAGCTTTTTAGTGCAGCAGAATGAAAGGTCAGGCTGCGCGGCCCACCCCACTTCCGCCACATTCTCAGAGTCAATTCCTGCCCACGGATGGTGCAGAGCCCAGGCTCTGGGCAGTGCCACCTGTGCTAATCATGCTTTGTACAGGGCTCCTATGCTTGCAGACCACACGTGACGGCTCCCCCTGCAGTCCCCGAGCCCCCCGAATCAGGAGTCCTGGTCGACCCAACCCCTGGCGATAAGACACCATCAGCTTCCCCTGCCTCCGACCCTGGAGCCAATCAGATGCCTCGGGCTGCCTAGCTCTGGGTGGCAGAGACTGATTCAAGCTATAAATCCCAGCTGGAAAAAGGCTTCCTCCGGCCTTTGCCCCCTCCCTCCATTAGCTTTGCTCACCCATCTAAATTCTCGGGAAAGGAAGGAAGACAAATAAAAGCACAGGCAACAGCCATCAACTTAACTGGAAACAGTGAATGTCCTTTAGAGAGAAAGCTGATGCTGATCTGAAGAAGGGGCAGCCCATCAGCAGGCGCCCTTTCAGGAACGACTTGCAGGGAATTCACCCTTCCTGGCTTCCTTGGGGCTGGTGAGAGCCAGTTAATTAATTTAGCAGCTTGATTTAAATTTTTTTTTATTGCCAAGCATAATAATTCAGAATTACAAAATGTTAAAGTAGAAAGGGACCGGAAGAGGTAGCAGATCTATGTCAGGACAAAGCATTGCAGTGGTGCAAAGTCTCCCACCAGGCCCCCAAAAGACCTTCGTCTCTAACCTGCTTCTCAGATGGAGAAACGAGGTTGAAGAAGCAACGCCCAGGTAGGAAGTGCGGCCCTGGACTGCGACTCCCTCTTCTTGTTCTAACGCCTTAACGTGTGACCATGTACAATTCACACTCACCTCCCTGAGAATGTAAGGCGTGCTGGTTTTGTTAACTAGGAAATTCTACTTCTATCAAAGCCCGTGGTACACGGGAGCAATGATGTTAAATTACTGCTTTTATCCTTATTTGCTTATCTTTCTCGACCCTGGAACTTTTAACTTGCATTCATTCATTCATTCATTTTTGATGCTGGGGACTGAGCCCAGACCATGAGCATAGGAGGCCTAAGCCCCGCCACTGAAACACCTCTAGCTTTTTATTTTCGGTACTGGGAATCAAACTCAGGACCTTATGCTTGCGAGGCAGGTGCTGTGCCACTGAGCTGAATCCCCAGCCCTAGCTCTTTATTTGCTTTTAATGAAGCTTTTTTGTTTATTTAATACAAATGCTTTTGTCTTGTGATAATAACCCAGAGCGCTTGCCGAATGGCTACTCTGAAACACTTGCGTGGGCCTGGCACAGGTCAGTCCATTCCAGCCCTGCCACCCTCTGCTGGGTACTGTTCGCCTCCATACTGTAAGATATGACAACTGAGGCTCCAGGAATTATGTAACTTGCCCAAGTTCATGAAGCAAGTCAGGGTTTGAGCCCAGGCATTCTGGCCAGCCTGAGGCCATGCACCAAGAACACTGACCTCAGCTCCCAAGCTCAGCCCAGGGGGCCTAGGTGTCACGCAAAGCAGGACACCTGGGCTGTAGTTCATGACAATGCAATCACCTGCTGTGTCTGGGGGATGGGAGAGAACAGGAGAAGGAGATCATTTGCATCTATGAATATGCATTAACAAACATTTGCATCTATCCAGACTTATGTGAATAAAAGAATGTGCATTCCAGATGCCACTGAACTCAGAGTTGACTGCGACAGCTCAAAAGGAATTCAAAGAAATAGTTCAATAGCAAGCAAAACAGCACATACAAAAATCCCTTCAATAGGTCTAAACTTAGCTCCCAAGCTGGTAGAGGTGACTAAAATGGCATTTTGTAAACACGGACAGGTTCTGAAAGAAGCAGAGCTTAGCTGGGAACCCAAAGCCTTTGTGTCCCAGAGGGTGGCCCAGTCACAGATGAGCCCTCCCCAGGGGACACTCACTCACACCCTGCTGGCCGGACACCCAGGCCTCAGGAGGGTGTTAGGCAGAGAGATGGGCACCTGCGTCCCTCCTCAGCCCAGCCACTTACCCGGCAGTACTCGTCAATGGGCTTCAGCCGCTTCACAGCTACATCCCGGATGTGGCTTCTGCGGAAGAGGATCTTGCCTGGAAGAGAGATTCCCATGAGCTGGGCGAGTCTGGCTAAATGTCCCAGGGATGCCCTCATTCGCCTTCCCCTCGGCTTCCGCATCTTAGCCACCCACTGTCCGCTACAGCCTCTGCCCCATCAACAAACCCAAACCCAAGAGAGGAATGAATAGTCACCTCTACTGGGGGGCAGGAGGCGCCCGAGGCCGAGGGCCCAGGGCCTCTCTGTGGAGGCTGCCATCTTGGGCTTCTATGAACAGCTTGGCCAAGTCACCTTGATCGGGTCTAAAGCAGGACCAGTGCCGGAGGGAGGTGTGGCTCCTACATGACCTCACAAGTAAAGTGCAGCCCAGCCCACATGCTATGTTTTATTTTCAGGCCCATCCTTCCTTGAGAAATCAGCATTCATTTCTGCCAGCCAGGCAGGAATTCTGATTCTTACTTAGTCTAGGTGGGTGGCTATTTCCAGGGCAGGCACAAGCCCAGGCCAAGGGATTGTGGCTGCCCCAGCCTGGCTGTTCTCGGCTGCTCTGTACACAGTGGCCAGCCAGGCTCGTACCTCTCTCTACAGATACGGGCCAGCCTTGCAGGAAATGCCAGCCCTCTGCCCTTCCCAGCAGGCCTTCTGTGCTGGCCACATTCAGTCAGGATAAACACATCGATGTGTGTTCCTTTCCAGCCTGTTAGAGTCTAAACTGGTTGGTCTGATGTTCAAAGCCTCACACAATTGACACTCCTGTGTCCCGCGGCCATCAGCATCCCCTTTCAGAAGGCATTCTAGGCGCACTGGTTGAGCCGGGAGTGCTTTTCTTCTCTCCAGAAGCACAGTATCCCCTCCTTGGGCACTCGCTGCAGTCCACTGACCCTTCACCGGATCCGCGGATCCTGGTGCGTGAGGAAGTGCCCAGCCAGAGCCGTCACACGTGTGCGGTCCTAGTCCACTCTCTGGAGAAAGCTCCTTAACTCGCAATCCTCGTGGTCCATTAAGGTCCAACATGCACATAGTGTCATCAGCCAGAGCCACAGTGACTGGCTGAGGGTATGGAGAGGCTCTCCTCTGGGCCAATGAAGGTCAGTCCTGGGGCCTCTTCCAGGGTTGCTCACTGGCCTGACGGAAGTCTGGCGCCTCTAGTGGCCAACTTTGTTATTGCTTGAGAAGGAAGAAGCGCTTGGCACAAGGTAAAGTATTCAATAAATGCTTCTCCAATGATGTAACAGCCGAGCCAAGAGAGGGTAGGAGCAGATTCCCTTGACATCTTTTCAGCAGCTGGATATAGCTGTTCCTGAACCCAAGGTCATCCCAGTGCTTTTCTTTTCTTTTTTTGTTTTAAGACAGGGTCTCACTATGTAGTTGAGACTGACCTGGAACTCACTATGTAGCTGGGCTGGTCTCGAACTCACAGCAATCCCCCTGCCTCAGCCTCCCGAGCTGGGATTACAGACGTGCATCACCATGCCCGGCTCTATCCCAGTGCTTTTCATTTGTGAAAAACAATAAAATTGTCTCATTTGTTTAAATTAGTTGGAGGAGCCGTTTCATCGCCGCATTGAAGGGGTCTTTGTTAGCATCATTTCCATTGTTCGTGTGTAAACATGCAGGCCGCACGGCGCCCCACTTGGCTGCTTCCGCCACGGTCCACGTGAAATATAAGCAAGGTCTAGAAACGCGGATCTGTCTGTGGTGATTTCTGCTGGCGTGACCCCGAGAGTATCCTTGGGGAGAGGGAGGCTGAGGCGGGGCAGCGAGCGGACAGTTACTGAGGAGTTTACTCAGCTGGCTGGGGACTCTAGGAGGATGCACAGCGTCCCTCGGGGTGTGAGCCTGGGGCTGGGTGGGAGACCAGTGTTCACCTACCCATGTCCCACTCCCCGCCAGCGCTGCCGGCTACTGTGCTCCTGCCGGTGGGACAAAGCTCTCGGGGAGACGCTGCTTTCCGGGTGAGCAGCCTTTGGCAGGCAGAAAGGAATGGACAGGAGTTGGGCGGACACAAAAGCAGCTGCTGCAGCCACCGCGACCTCCTCGCCGCCACAGTGCAGACACCAGCCCTGCCCGGTCAGACCGTGGACACCGAAGGGCACCACGTGCGGCCTGCAGCCTGCTCCTCCTTCTGCCCATACTGCACATGGCTCAGCCACTGTCCCCGTGTCTCCTCCTTGTTCTCTCCCTCCCTTGGGCTCCCTGGAGCCAGAGAGCCGGCCACCCTCCCCGAGACAGACTCCACTGTGCCAGGACAAGCGCTCCACCAGGCGCCCGGGGAGGGGAGATAAAAGAGATTTATCAGGACCCTGGAGACGCTGCTTTCGTGGGCGCACATGTCCCAGATTTGGCGTTCCTAGCCTTTTTCGGATGCCTGTCGCTCTACTGCCTGCACACCCGGGAACAGTGTCAAAGCAAACCCTCATCAGGCCTCGCCAGAAGTGGGAGTCGGGGCCCTCCAGTGGAGCCAGCTGTTTGCCAGGAGCCGGGGACCTAGACCCAGGGACACCACAGCCAAAGCTTGAAGGACTGATGAGGGACAGGGGACGCCAAGGGAGCGCACCATCCTGAGGGGTAGAGGCACGAAGGGAAAACTCTCGAGGCCTCTGTGAGGTGCAGAAGTTCCAAGAAGGGAGGCATGGGTGGAGTGCAGGGTGGGGGCTCCCTGGCTCCTCGCCACACTGGCTCTGAGCACGGCCCTGGCGCCCTACACCCATTGTCTCAGAGGGAGCCCCAGGCCCTAGAGTGACGCCTTCCCACCCCCTCCACAGGACTGGGGCCTGCTGCTCAGGTGTGTGGTCAGCGGAAGATTCCTGCTGGAGTCCTGATGGGAGCAGAGCTTCGGGGGGCTGTGGGACAGTCAGCCAGTGGGGGACAGGGTGGGAAGGGCTCTCCACCTAGACTTCTTGTGAGGAATCCAAACAGCACACAGAAAGCCATACTGGGGACCGAATTAAAAGGGAGAGAGCAAGGAGGAGGCGGAAGGAAATGCTCACCGAGACAGCCGAGGTCACAGGGCACTAAAGGCCTCTTATAAAGCCAGGCAGATGCTCCAGTAACATGACAAGCATCGTAAGGCAGGTTACACACAGGCGGACTTAGCTCATTCCTGGACATGGAGAAGAGAGCTGCGAGCCGGGCAACATCTGGGCATCAAGCTGGGGCCCTTCTCCTGCCACTTGGGGCTGGGCTCAGAGGAGCAGGGCCCATAGGTGAGAATGCTGGGTTCAAGTCCTGCCTGGGCCCCAGGCGGGCAGTGTGACCTTGCAGCCGTGCCCTGCAGGGACCTCAGGTTCTCATCTGGAACCTGGCTCTGTGCTGCTACCTCTGAGCCCCAACACCGCTTCCCTGTGGGTGGTGGGCTTCAGGGGGCGGAGGAGGAAGAGGAGTGGTAGCAACAGCTAAGGGCACGCTGCATGCAGGCTCCCGCCAAGAGCTTCCTGTTGGCCTCGAGGAATCCTCCCAGCTCCCGGAGACCAGGACATCGTCCAGGGGCGATGGCCATGCAGGAAGGTTGAAGCTGTCCACAGTCACAGCTATTTCCAGCTCAGAGAGCCATGGCGATGACTCCAGGGAGTTCTCTGGGCTCAGACCACGAGAGCTCTTACAGCCAGGAGGACCACCTGGGATTGTATTCGCTAAGTGGGGGACAGGAGAGCAGCAAACTCCCTAGCGAACCACGGCCTCCAGGGCTTTCTGGGAAAAGCGTTACATGGGACCCTGAGAGAGGCAGGGCGAGAGCCTTCAGGAGCAGAAACAGCAGACACAGCACGCTGGCAGGGAGGCTGTCCTAGCCAAAGAGAGTTCTCGGCGATCTAGGTACACATCCTCACGCAGGTGAGCACCTGCATGGACCAGGGTGTAAGACGCACTGGCGGCCGGCGATAGGACAGGGCTAGCCTTGGAACCTCTTGCTTTGATCAGGCTGATCTATTCCTGGCAGGTGCTCCTCTCCAAGAGACACCACAGTATCTATGCACGTATGTGTAAAGCCCTCTTCCCTGCCTCTTCTGCCACCTGGGATGCCATTCATTCTCCAAAGACGCCCATCCACCTACCCATCCATCCTTTCACCCTTCCTTCAGAAGCAGGAGTGGGGCCTGGCAGATTGGCCGGGGAGGTGGGCTTGACCCGTTAACTGCAAAGTCTCAGGATGCACATGCGGGACAGTTCCCAAAGCCCCGCACGTGTGACCAGTCAGAGACTGCTATCTTTCATTCTTCTCTCGAGAAGTCGGGCAGGTTTTTGATAGGATGGCCTAGACCTGACGTCAGCCTGAGGAGTGGGGGTACAAAAGGACAGCCGCCTTGAGCTCTCCGCGACTGCGTTCTCTTTCATAACAGTTCACTCTCCCTCCATAGAGTACTTACTTTCCCATTTTTACTTGGCCCAAACTTGCTCTCCAGAGCGAGTTTCTCTTCCTGCCTTTAATAGATGTAAAACCTAACTACCTTTTGTACTTGTTTTGTCCAATTCTTTGTTCAAGACAAAAAGAACCTAGACGCCACTTTGGAAGGAGACTCCAACACCCCGAACCCAGTAACGTCTCCTCCACCCGTGCAGGCCGCTGGCCAGCATCCACCGTGGCTCCATCTGCTGGTCCGTGCGGGGCCGACCTGGTGGGGCCAGGAGCTCTGGGTTTGCCCCAGCAGCGCTGCGGTGAACAGCACAAGCGGGGTTTTGCTCTCACGGCGTCCACATGCTTTTGGAGAGGGTGAGCATGCAGAAAGACTGCACACTTTCACAGACAGGGAGTAGCTCGGCTACACATGCTTGAGCGCTCCCGATAGCTACACAGGGACTAAAGCAGGGTAATGTGAGGCGGGGTGCCCAGAGGGTGGGGATTCAGAGTGGTCAGAGAAGACTGAGGGTCACTGGACCCTGAGAGGTGGAGGATCTGAGGCAGGGTGCAGCTGGAGAGAACAGGAACGGCCTAGAGTCCGTGTAGGGACCCAGAAGCCACGGCAGAGGGTCGTTTGACTCATGCTCTCGGCCTGCCCGCCCAGCTCCTTCCCGTCCTTAAGGTGCAGATTCCCTGCCG